TTCAAGTTTGAATGAATAGTTTATTAAGAAAAGATATTTTACGAATTGGTAAGCCCGCTGATGGCCTAGATAGATATGGAGATCGTATCCTTAGGGGCAGGACTCAAAATTCAGACCAGGCCACTACAGTGGTGTTAAGACTTATTTTTATGGTTGTGTAAGTAATTTATCATAGTATAAATTACTTGCTGATGCCTGTAATATGAAATTTAAAGTTTATACTTCCTTTCAGAAAAAAGATGTTAGGTTCTAGTTGTTGTGTTGAAACTAGATATCTTTATTTATTTATTTACTCGTTTGTAAAGTTTTCTTAAATATCTCCAACTGGGCATTTTGCTTACTTTTTCTCTATTTTCAACGTTTTAACCCCTCCCTCCAGAGTTAGCGATTTAGATTTACAACATGGCAAGTGGATGCCAATAGATTGAAGGCGCGAGATTCAAAGTGGTTAGTTTATTTTGAATTTACAGTTTTTAATTCTGAGTTGTACTGTATTTTTGTATATAAACTGTATTTGGTCGATAGTGTCCCAGAGTTGTATAATTTTAAACTTTATAGACTGTTTTAAATATAGCTTGTAAAAGAAAGACTCCGGAACAATATATTTTAATATCTATTTTGGTATTTGTATATTTTATTTTATTTTCATGGATTTTCCTTTATTGATCCAGTTTAATTAAGTTAAATTTTAAATTAAATCTGAATAATCACGACCCTATCCTTGGGGTCATGACAGTTGTTCCTCTAGTAATTGTTTCCATGTCGTCTAAAGTTAGTAATCTGACTATATAAATAAGAAAAAAAAAACTAAAAATACTTAAGTAAATCACGAGATATCAAAATTTAATTAGAAGAGTAGTCACCGAGACATGAATATGGGACAGCAGATCTCGTTTCATCATTTACTTCAAATCGTTTAAAAAAATGCTATTTATTTAATTTAGTTTCATAGCTTTACTATTTACTACAATTTTTTTTTTTCTTCTTGGATTGTAGGTGTGAGTGGTTCAAACCTTTATCTTTATTTGTAACTTTATGTAGAATTTATCAACTATTTGTAATTATGACTACTATCACAAAAATGTATTCTGGAAAGCCAAAAATAAATAATGACAATAAATCCAACAAATTCTTCCAATGAGAGCTACTATACAGATACACTTTTTTTTTTTTTTTTTTTTTTTTTTTATAGAAATACATACATACATATTACGTTGTGTGAGGCTTGTGTAACAATTGCATCAAATTCAATGGAAGAAATGGGAACTCACCGACCGGAAATGAGGAGCCAAAAAACATAGGGCCTGTTTGGTTTCGTTTTTATTTCCGTTTTTCGAGGTTAAAAAATAAAAATGGGTAGACAAAATGCGTTTGGTGTAAAATTTTCTAAAAATTGAAAATAAAAACTTTTTTTGTCTTTTTTTGAAAATCTGAAAACGAATTAAGATCGTTTTCTCCGTTTTCGTTTTTGTTTCCTTCTTCTCCCATTTGCATCTTTCGAAGCATTTCACTCCTCTCTCTCTCTCTCTCTCATGAGCCTCCGCCAGCGACCATACCCACCGTCGCGTCTGGGCCCGGCAGCGGCGGCGGGAGATCCGGAGTCGGAGCCGTACAACATAATCCCGGTGCACAACCTGCTCACGGACCACCCATTGTTGCGGTACCCAGAGGTTTGAGCCGCGGTAGTGGCGCTGCGAGCCGTCGGGAACCTCCGTCAGCCGCCGTTCGCGCAATGGCTCCCTCACATGGACCTTCTCAATTGGCTCGCCCTATTCTTCGACTTCCAAAACGATAGCGTTCGGAACCAAAGGGAGCACCTCGTCCTCCACCTCACCAACACCCAGATGCACCTCACACTGCCGCCGGACAACATCGATACACTCGACACCGGCGTCTTGCGCCGCTTCCGCAAGAAGTCCAACATTTGGATCTCCGACCGGGTTGAAATGGCCTGTTGATGTTGGGAGCAATTTCTTTGTGACTTCTAGTAGGAGTAGGCATGTGGGTAAGACCGGGTTTGTGGAGCAGAGGTCGTTTTGGAACTTGTTTAGATGCTTTGATCATGCTCATTTTGTTCCTTCAGGCGGCCATTATTGTAAAGATCACTTGGAAGTTGAAAGATGGTAATGGTTCTGCGTTTTCAAAGTACAATAAACGGCATTAAAATTTAATGCTATTCTCAGGTTTTTTATCGTTCATCATGTTTTATACATCCTTTTTACTTTTTAGACGTATTTTTGAAGATTAATAGGAAGTATGTTTTATAAATTATTATTTAAAATATTATTATATGTTTTTAAAAATTAAACCACCAAACGCAGTTTCAATTTTTTTTAAATTGAAAACAATCTCAAAATAAAATTACCGAATACATTTTTAGAAATGATTCTAAAATGGAAATGAAAATATTTTCATTTTCATACAAAAAATAAAATTATTTTAGAACGAGTTCCAAACGCACCCATAAATTTTCAAGTCTATCTATTATACGTTATTTCACCAATGCGAGTGCCAAGTTGTTTCGAGTCTCAGCCTTGCTCAGCTCCAACTTCAAAGGTATGACATGTATGCAGATTTTTTGGTAGGTTAAGTTCTTTTCTAGCTACATCTTGCGCCCATTGCAAGTTTGAGTGAAATCGCCATCATTTTGCACCAACAAATTAAACCTTCCAATCTTTTCAGAAATAACTTTTAAAAAAACGACAATAAAATACAGACTTTTCTGGAGGAAAAAGGAACAGTTCTATATGATTAGAAGTAACTACTATCATAAACCTTACTGGGCCCGTTTGTTTCTATTTTTAAAAACGTTTTTCACGTTTTCCGAAAAGTAAAAACGGAAACGTCACAAAAATTACGTTTGGTGATCCATTTTCCCGAAAATAAAATTAAGAACACCAATTTCATTAGAGCTGACAATTTAGGTAGTGAGACGACGATACGATTCGAAATCTACATAAAATTTATAAGTTTGATTTATCATAAACAAGTTTAGGTTAAACTTATGAAACACGATCAAATAACATATCATTTTCAAATTGACCCGTAAACTCATAATTAATCTACTGTGATCCGTTTATTAAACGTGTGATATTTAAGTAATACAAATATAAAACACAATTATAACCCGTTTATTATCCGTTTACAACTATATTTTTTTTTAATACTTAATAATATATTCTTTTCTTCTTTAGGTTTTCACTTTTCACTTATTCCCTTCTCTCATTTTCTCACTCACGCGCCGCTATCTCCTTCTCGAGAGAGCTCCACCGCCGCTGGCCCGCTAGGTCTCCAGACAGCTCCACCGCCGCTTCTTCTTCGCTTCTTCTTCTTCTTCTTCTTTCATCTCCGCCCCATTCTCTCTGAACTCTCGTCATCTCTCCGTCAGATTCGGCGTTGGGAAAGTCTTGTTATTCTCATTTCTTCGTCAGATAGGGCTTCGTGAAGTCTTCTTCTTCTTCGTCTTCGTCAAACTCGGCCTTCGGGAAGTGAGATTCTCAGCTCCGTTTCAGGTATTTCCCATTTCTTCAGCAAATAAGTTTGTTTTCCTCGTGTTCAGAAAATCCACTTCATTTATGAACTTTACATGATTTCTGCTTTCTAACTTGGTTTTTTTTTTCCTGTGTTTATTTGTTTTACTTTCTAACTTGCTTTGAGTAAGGATGATTTCCTGTCCAAGGGATTTAAACTGGCGTTGTAAATAGAACAATGTCCACGGGGCTTCTTCTGGGTTCTTGACTAATTGCAAAGTAAGGATTTTCTCTAGTTCTTACGTTTGATTTCTCTTTTTCTGGTTAGGTCTTTTCTGTTCTTGTTGTTTATTCCAATTGGAATTGATTCGTCTATTGTGTTGAGTTTATTTAAGTTGATGAACGTGTTCTGATCTTTCTTCAAATTTGTGTTGGTGAATCATAATCGTCCAATTGTTGACAGCTCGTTTGCCCTTTTCTTGTTAATAACACATTTTGTTAGTTTCTTAGGTCTGTAACTGCTATTTCAAAGAACTGCTTTGGTTTGATCGCCCTTGGATTCTGAAACCCTCATAACTTTGTTTAATTCAGTCTAATCCATAGTTTGATTTCAAACAGATTACTTATCTTAGACTTAATCAAACCATTGGTGAATGATTACCTTTAAAAAAGGTACCATTGGTGAATGATTACCTTTAAAAAAGGTACTATTGGTGAGTGATTATTCTTCTTCATGATCATCCATATTCAATGAATATGATTTGTTTGCTTGCTCTTATGTTTGAATTACGCAATTTATGTCTATGGCTTCTTATTATGTTGTACTCAATAGAGTTAGCTTAATTCATTTTGCATACTGCACCATTTGATGATTTATGTGTTTATGGTTTGATCTGTGTTCATTTATGTGTTTTCGGTTCATTTCATTTTCCTTGTTCCCATAAAGAAGGGTAAAACAGGGGAAAAAAATGCGATATAACCCAAGCAAAATAAAACAGGGGGAAAAAATGGGATATAGCCCAACCAAAATAAAACAGGGGGAAAAAATGGGATATAACTCAACCAAAATAAACCAGGGGGAATAAATGGGATATAACCCAACCAAAATTAAAGGGGAAAGTCGGAAAATAAATCCTTTCCTGTGTAATTTCATCTGATTGTTATGGGATTTTTTGCTCTTTTTTACATCTATGTAGGTCATGGAGTTTCTCAAGTCACTTGTGATATGGAAGAAATCAAGTTCCTTATAAATACTATATAGAACATATAAAGAAGAGAATCCTCTTAACTTATACGTATACTATAAGGAGAACCTACTTGTTTTTCTAGAAATTATACGAAGAGCTTTGTGAGCAGAGTTGCGTAGAAGACGTTTTTTTTTTTTTTTTTCCCTTCAACATGGAGATGTCGGTGCCTAGTTGTTCTGCTCCAAGTTTTTGGTCTTAATTGTAAATTCTCAACTTTAATTATCTTCTATTTTGTTTTATGTGAGAGTTTTATGTGTTTGTTTTAATTTGTGAGAGAGTTTTATGTGTTTATTTTAATTTTTAACTTAGATTATTTAATGTCTCTTCAGCATGTTAAAGAAGTTGAGAAACAGATCTTTTAGTACAAACAGGTTGAGAAACAGGTTGATTTATAGCTTGATACGACCCATTTATTATCCATTTTATAAACGGGTTGAAAAACAGGTTGAGAAATAGGTTAGCACGACCCATTTATCACCCATTTTATAAATGGGTTGAAAAACAGGTTGAGAAATAGGTTAACACGACCCATTTATCACGCCATTTTATAAACGGATTGGCAAGTAATCAACGGGTTGACACGACACATTTACGACTTGTTTAATAAACGGGATAGTCGTGTCGTATTAACCTACCAATATACAGGTCGTGTTTGGGTTTTGTTATTCGACACGAATAATAAACGGGTTGTGTTCGTGTCAGTCTTAACCGTGTCAACTGAGGGGGTCAACACGATACGAGCACGACCCGTTTATCTCATGTTTCTAAAAATGATTTTTTATCGTTTTCATTTTCTCCATTGGATTTCCTTTGACTTCTCTTCGAAATCGCCGATCTCCCTCTCATCTTCTCTCCACATTCGATGTTCTGAGCTCATCTCTTTTCACGTTGAAGTCGCTTGATCTGATCTCATCTTCTCTCGTCGCCTGATCTGATCATGAATTTGTTGAAGGTTTTTTCTTGATCGGCGAATTTCCGGCCCTCCTCAACCAAATCAACCGAGGTATGGCCCTCCTCCAGGTGTTTAATTGGTTATTTTTTCTTATTTTCGGATAATTTGTTCATAATTTCTCCCAACCAGTAGATCTGATTTGGTCCGTGATTATGAAGGAAATTTTTGGTTATTTTTTCTATTATTGATTTCCCTAATACTCAGTATGTGATTATAAAAGAAATTTGTTATTGATCTGCAGTCCTATTGCTTGACTTTGTAACGATGGGTTGTTTACATGGTTTCATTAATCCTACAGGCTATTTTTTTACTTCTTTTAAAATTGTTGATTTTAGTAGGCTTAATAGGTGATGCTTTAAGAGTCATCATGAAGCATCAAAATTTATGTTTAAATCCTGTAATTAGTTGAAATGAGTTTGATCTGCTTAAAAAGAATAATAAGAACGAGGCCTCAGTGCTTATTTTTTATTTTTTTTCTTCTCGTATGAACATGCTTAAATATGGACAGTTTGTCTTTTGGCCTAAGTTAGTTGTCTTTTTATTATTATTCATTGTTAATAAAGGTAATAAGCGAAATTTTGTTTTAATCCACTTTTGCTCTTCTCTACCCCATAAAGATATTGAATAGACAGAACTTCTTTTTTTACCACTGTAAGTTTGAAAATAAAGATTTAAATGTCCCTCAAAAGTAAGTAAATAGATCCGAAACATATAAAATGCAGTTAATCCCGCTGTGGAAAAAGCTATTATTGCAAAAATTGGTGAATACAACCAACTATCATTAAGAATTTCATCTTTGGACCAAAAACAGCCAAGAGGTGGAATACCATCCGCTTAGGCAATGTAGTGTAGTGGAGCGTTGGGATATTATTGGAGGCAAGAGTTTTTATATTTTGATTAGGCTTTGTTGGTTATGGAATCTGTACTGAGATTTAGACTGTGAGATGCACAGAACATGTTATTACTTTGTTGTTACTCCAAGTAAGAGTACCTTAGGAATGAATTCAACATCTATTTAACTTGACGCATTTAGCTAAAACTGTTTATTGGCTATGTTTCGAAACTGTCATTTGATAGTTCTTACTCCCCTAAAGAAGTGGTGAATGGGTATACATAGGTGACTTTTTTGGCCACAACCCTGTAAGCAACCACTTCTCCTTTCACCAAAAACTCAAGAACATCTCTGTTGAACCCATCATCTACCTCAGCTTGCAAATATTGGCCTGCAGGGACATTAATGTATGTTTAGGATTTTATCATGTTCTTGATTGTTTGATTTCATATTGCTCGTCAGAACCAAAGATTGATGATTTAGTTAGTGTTTTGAGCGAGAGAAGTGCTTTATGAATATGATTTGTGCACTTAAACTAAGCACATCTATAAAGGCTTCTTTCCATTAGGCATAGTCTGACTCTAATCCGCAGGCACACTCTAACTAAAGAAAAATGAATAGGCTAGGATTATTTACTGTGTAATTTTTTTTTTAATGTAATTATTCACTAAGTAATTTTATTTGTATTTATTTACCATATATTTGTAATGTACTTAAAAAAACTGATTTGTAGGAGGCATGCTTGGGACGTTTAATTACTAGGCAATTGATTGGGGATTGTAGAAGGCAAAAAAGAAAGCCCAATCTTTCATTAAAAAAAAATATATAAAAAGAAAAAGAAAAGAAAAGAAAAGAAAAGAAAGCCCAAGGAAGCCTTGTCACCGGAACGGTTCTACCGCCGTGTCTCTTTGTCGGTGTCGTTTCTTTGCAAAACCCAGCCTTTTTGCTTCAGAACTAAGAGCTGTTTAAACGCTTGTTTGGGTTTGAAAAATTTTCTTTATTGACTGTTGAGTGATTTTTATTTTGGTCTGAAATTGGTTCAAACCTGTTTTCATTTGATGTTGAATTGGGATTGTAAAATTTTGGTTTACAACTTTGTCTAAAATTTGGATGAAATGTGTATTTCCATTCTTTGTAGGTGGTACTGTAAACCCAAGAAGTTGAAAAACATCTTCAATGGAAGTTAAAAGCATTGTAGCTGGACTTTTCTCAAACACAACAACCAATTCAATTCAGACCCCCAAGAAACCATTCTCTGCATTCTTTGTTCCTCCTTCCACCATTTCCTCTGTTCAACTCCAAAAACGGTTCTTTAGTTACCTTTACAAAGTCGCTCTTTCCACTTCACAGCGGGTTTGCCATAGCAAGAAGATAAGAATAAGAGAATGTAGAAGAAACCTCGTGGTTGAATTAGCTTCAGACAAAGATTTAAGAAGTGAGGTTCGACGGAGAAAGCTCGCGGTTTTCGTTTCCGGTGGAGGATCCAACTTCCGCTCCATTCACGAGGCTTCCCTTAAGGGATTGATTCTTGGAGATGTTGTTGTGCTAGTCACTAACAAACGTGGTAATGCAAATGCCTTCTTTTTATGCTATAACGTCTAGTGCTAATTAGTATTTGTATGTCATTGACTTCTTGTAATTGGGACTTGGAAGAAGTTATTGGTTTTCTTATTGTTGATTGAATGCTAAGCTTTTGTTCTTGTGAGGGTAGTAATATAAATCACTTTGAGAGACCTTATTCTGAGTTTAGTTGAAAATTTTGCCAATATAGGTTATCATGCAACTTGTGGAGTTGTGCTAATGATAATCTGTCACCTGTGATGAGAGTAAAACTACTTAGGCACTAGAAAGCTTTAACATCAGCTTCATTTCAATTTTAAAAAAAAAAAGTCATAATGAGGAAGAAGAGAAATGCTAGCATCACTCTTTCTGTCACTTTCTGCATTCACTGTTTGACACGTGGACTCCACTTAACATGATATATTATTATTTAAAAAGAAAATGAGATAGTAGAGTCTACATATTAAATAATGAATATAAAAAGTGACAAAAAGAGTGACATAAATAGTGATGCTAACATTTTTTTGATGAAGAAACATGTGAGTGCACTATTTTCCCTTTAGATTTAGTACGAATTTTCTTCTCTGTCATTGCAGGATGTGGAGGTGCTGAGTTTGCAAGAGAGAAGGGTATCCCAGTTATTTTGTTCCCCAAAACGAAAGATGAACTTGATGGATTATCCCCAACTGACCTTGTAGCTGCCCTTAGGTCAGCGTTCTCTTCCATAGTATAAATGGAGTCGTTCTTCGAGAAATCTTGTATTTTCTAGAAACCAAGAAATCTTGTATGTTCTTGTATGGCGTTACTAATTTAATCTTTGGATGTTTTATCTTAATCAGGGAATTTGAGGTTGACTTTGTCCTCCTAGCAGGATACCTAAAACTCATACCAGTTGAGCTCATCCGTGCTTATCCGAAATCAATTATCAATATCCATCCATCACTTCTTCCGGCTTTTGGAGGTAAAGGTTATTACGGTATGAAGGTGCACAAAGCAGTAATTGCTTCTGGAGCAAGGTATACCCTACTATCCCCAACTCTTCCAATCCTCTTATTTTTTGGAATTTTCAGAAATACCCCTTAGCGAGTCGTCGTTGTTTCCACCTTGATTAGATTCTCAGGTCCCACAATACATTTTGTCGATGAGCACTATGACACTGGTCGTATTCTTGCTCAGAGTGTTGTCCCTGTGCTTCCCAACGATACTGCAGAGGTGCTAGCAGCGAAGGTTCTTAGGGAGGTAAGAAAAATTCACGTCCTTCACTTTTTATTTCGTAGATTTTCATGTTTTCTCTCTGCCAAACAAAACAAACAAACTCATAATGTTTTTATCCCAAAACTTCCTCACAAAGGCGACGTGCATATGCATGATATTCCATAACTTTGTTCAGCTTACCTTACACCTTGTGTTTAACTTTTTATTATAGGAACACAGTTTGTATGTGGACGTGGTGGCGGCATTATGCGAAGATCGGGTATTGTGGAGGGAAGACGGTGTTCCTCTCATCCAGAGCAAAGAGAATCAGAACGAGTATAGATAGCACGAATAGCATTTTGTTACCCAAACGGCGAAAATGCTCGAGATTTGGGTTCCTGTATTGTAGAGGAAGGGTACACATGACATGACCACCGTTGTCAATAAGAAAATAGTACAAGTTTTGAAGCACTCCACCATCAGCGGTTCCATTTTTGACTAGTATCATCAATATTTGTATTTTAAAGTTTGATTTTAAACAAGCATAGTTTAGATTCTAGGGTGAAAATTATTTAAATTTCGATAACATGTTTGGCTCTAATTTATTCATTAATTGTGACATGTTGTCGCTAATATTCAGGGTTACAATTGGCAGTAACGTGGCCAAAAAAAGATAGAAATTTTGGCAGTTTCTTAGAAATTAGTTCTAGAAAATTCTACATTTTTTTGCGACGACGTGTATGAATTGTCGTTGGAAATATTAGTTCTAAAAAATTCTTCCAACCATGAATAGTTTTTGCGATGACAGTATGAAATGCAGTTGTAAATATTGATTGAATTTAATTTCTAACAAAACAAAAGGCAAAAAATTTGGTGGATTTCAGAAAAATATTTGTGACGACTATATTAAAAAGTCGTCGCAAATATTAGTTCTAGAAAATTCTTCTAACTGCGAGTATTTTTTGCGACGACAATATGAACTCTTGACGTAAATATTGATTGAATTTAATTTTTAACAAAAAAAAGGGTGAAAAATTTAGCTGTTTCTCGAAGAATATTTGCGACGACTATATTAAAAAGTCGTCGCAAATATTAGTTACATAAAATTCTTCAACCACGAGTATTTTTTGCGATGACAATATGAACTGTCACCGTAAATATTGCTCGAATTTAATTTCTCAAAAAAAAAAGGCGAAAAATTTAGCGGTTTCTCAAAAAATATTTGTGACATCTATATTAAAAAGTTGTCGCAAATAAGGAATATGGGTATAGTCCTCAAGAATATGCTCATAAATATTAATGTGGTGATGAAGAATGACGTCGTTTTGATATTAATTGCAACAATTTTTTTATTTTTTTGCAATGACATTATAGTCGGAAAAAAGCTGCCTGTATAAACGCGAACGCATAACTCTTTCCTCCATTTTTTCCGGTCACCCTCTCTGTTTTCTCTTTCTCTCTCCATCTAAAACCTCTATAAACTGCCCCAAAACTCTGAAAAAAGCTCAGATTTATAAATCTCTCTTCAAATCTTGGATTTGTGGAGCACAATTTTTTGAGAAGCTCCAAAAATAACAGTGTTTTCACCTCGCAGTTGCCGCCCGCTTTCCCGGCTGTCGTCCACGTTTTCCGGCTGCCGTCGCCCTCCCAGTCCTGCTGCCTTATTGTTTTCCAACCCTTGGTGTTTGTGGGTTTGGATTTTGTGAGTTAATATTTTTGGTATTTTGTAAATTGATTTTTTTTTTATTTTAGTTGTGGTTTGTGGTTTTGTTTTGGATTTTGAATTTGGTTTGTGGTTTTGGATGTATTTAGATGTTGTTGTTGGATTGTTAATGTGGTAAATTAGAATTAGAATTGAATTGGGTAGAATTGTGAATGTGGTAGATTGTAAATTAGAATTGGAATTGAATGTTGTAGAATTGTGAATGTGGAATTGAATTAGGGGTGTCAATTTATGTCACGTGTCGTGTTCGTGTCGTGTTTTGATCGTTTTTTTTAAATTTTCAGTCAACCCGAACACGACCCGTGACACGAAATTTTTTAAAAACCGCAACACGAACACGACACGACCACTTTACGAGCTGACACGACACGACCCGAAAATGACCCGTGACATGAAATTGACCCGTGAACCCGAAATTGACACGAAAATTGTATACTTTTATTTAGTTTTTTACATATTAGAAATAACTTAAAATTCATAACACACTAAATTACAATAACATCCATTGAAATTAAGCAAATAATAGTATAAGATTTTGAGTATAACTATCATGATATCACAAGTTCATAATAAAATTTAAAATATGAAATGAAAAATATATGTATTTTTTAGTTTTTTACGAGTTTCGTGTCGTGTTCGGGTTAGGCGGGTCCAACCCGAAATTGACCTGTATTTTTCGTGTCAATTTCAGGTCGACCCAATTCTGACCCGAACCTCTTTTTTCTCAACCCTAACCCGCAAAATTCGTGTCATTTTCGAATCGTGTCGTCGTGTCGTGACCCATATTGCCGGCCCTAAATTGAATGTTGTAAATTAGAATTGTGAATGTGGTAGATTATAAATTAGAATTGAAATTGAAATTGGTGGTAATTAGATTGAAATTTGTGGTAATTAGATTGAAATTTGTATGATAATTTTGATGTGATGATGATTATGTTATTGGTAAAAAAATTTAGATGAAAATGTAAAGTTAAAAAAAAGTAAAAAATAGTGATATGTTTAATAATTGAATGATAAATAGTGGAAAATAAATGAAGTTTAAAATTAAATGTAAATAAATGTAAATAAAGTAATTATTTATTACATTATAACAATTTGAGAAAATGTTATAAAGGAAAGAAAAAAATATGCTAACAAATTTAATTAATTAAAAAAAGTTTTAATAATTATTATATTGATAATAAAAAATTTAAAAATTATTATTATAAAATAGTTAATAGAATGTGAAAGTCTTATTAAAAAAATTTTGTGTTAATTTTCATAAAATTTGATAAAACTTCATAAATTCTTCGTAGCGGAATTGCCACCTTTCTTAGAGTTTTTTTTAATTTAAAAAAAAATATAATAAATAGCAGATTTTAAAAAAAAAACTAAACAAATAACAGTTTTTAAAACAATTTGAATTAAATAGAAATTTACAGCGTAAATGTGTCATTTACGATTAGTAAAAAATATAAAAAATTATAGAATTTACTTGTAACAGTGCATCGATTAAAATTTTTATTTCTTACTCTTAATTAATACTCTTTTAACTAATATATTATTTTTTTAATGAGAAATTTTATTTCATAAGAAACAAATTACACAAGATATAAATGGGTCCAAATACAAAGGAATTCGACCTGAATTAATGATTGGATCCACTAGTAAAGACCAAAAAATAGCACATGGATGAATATAAGTACTAAGACTCAAATGGAGAAAGACCCTTTAGGCACATGAACCATGCAATTTAAAGGAGTATTTGTCTCTTTTTCTCTCAAAAACAATTTACGTGGTAAAAACCTCTATTTTTGTGGAAAAAAGTTTTTAGCAATCGTAAAAAGAAAATTTATGTGAAAAATAACCTTTTACAAGTTGTAAATGAAACATTTTACGCGGTAAACTGTTATTTATGTGTCCATATATGATGTCTATATTTTCCTATCTCAGTGGTTGTTCCTCCACTAATTGTTCACATGTCATCTAAAGTTAGTAATCTGACCATATAAATAGGAAAAAAAATTAAAATACTTAAGCAAATCACGAGATGTGAAAATTTAATTAGAGTAGTCACCAAGACATGAATATGGGACAACAGATCTCGTTTCATTATTTACTTCAAATCGTTTAAAAAAAAATGCTATTTATTTAATTTAGTTTCATAGATTTACTATTTACTACAATTTTTTTTCTTCTTCTTGGATTGTGGGTGTGAATGGTTCAAACCTTTATCTTATTTGTAAATTTATGTAGAATTTATCAACTATTTGTAATTATGACTACTATCACAAAAATTTACTCCGGAAAGCTAAAAATAAATAATGACAATAAATCCAACAAATTCTTCCAATGAGAGCAAATACACAGATACACTCTTTTTTTTTTTTTTAACAGAAATACATAGATACATATTACGTTGCGTGAGGCTTGTGTAAAAGTGCATCAAATTCAATGGAAGAAATGGGAACTCCTAAGAAAAAAGGGGAGACGCACCGACCAGAAATGAGGAGCTAGAAAACATAGGGTGCGTTTGGAATTGATTCCAAAACGTTTTTGTTTTCTGTACGAAAATAAAAATGAAAACGTTTTTAGTTTCATTTTTGAATTATTTCTGAAAATACGTTTGGTAGTTTTATTTAGAGATTGATTTCAGTTTTAAAAAAAACTGAAACTGCGTTTGGTAGTTTAATTTTTGAAAACATGTAATAATATATTAAATAATAATATATTAAATAATAATATATTAAATAATAATATATTAAATAATAATATATTAAATAATAATATATTAAATAATAATATATTAAATAATAATATATTAAATAATAATATATTAAATAAATAACATTATTAAATATATTATATTAAATAAACATATATAATACAAAAACGGTTTCAGAAAAGAGGGAAGAAAATGAAAAAAAAAAAGGGAAACCCGTTTTCAGAAACCAGAAAACGAAAACGAGAAAATGAAAAACCCTTTTTTTCGTTTTCTGATTTCCACAAAAAGACAAAAACGTTTTTGGTTTTGTTTTTAAAAAAAATTTGCGCCAAACACGTTTTTAACACACGTTTTCATTTTTTGCTTTGAAAACCGTGAAAAACGAAAATGAAAACACAAACAAACAAGCCCATAGATTTTCAGGTTTATCTATTATACGTTATTTCAACATTTGAGATTTTACAAAAGGATCAACAGCGTAACACTTACGCAAAAGATTATACGAATATTTAATAATTAACATAAGTACCAAATTTTAACTTCAAATAAACATGGGTTAATTGTGTATCATTTTTAAATTATAGGGATCAGAACAAAAGAACCGTTATTTTTTAAGGCGTAAATTAAAATTAATCCTTTTTTATTATTATTTTTAAAAAAATTTAAATTTAAATTCCCCGGCTGTTTGCATCTATCAGTGTCTACATTTTTTTTTTCTCATTCCTCCCGTTTCTCTGTTTTTTTTTAATTAAGAAAAGGTGTAATACCATAATCTCTTCTTCATTTTTTTCCCCTTAATCCTTGGGATAAGTTTGTAACAAGAACTAAACGAAAGCATAAAAAATGCGTAAAGGAAGAAACTTTATTCATCGTTTCTATTCTAATTGAAGAAAGAGGGTAAATTACAATTATACTTTGAAATTAAACAGAGCTAGGATATATTTGCAATTTTTGATAACCATTTGCACAAAAATGACTATCTACATGTTTGGAAAATAAAAATATTGGCTTTCCTCAAGCGAATACTAATTTGGCTTTTGCCAACTGCTAACAAATTCTAATCTTGCTAGCCAAAACAGAACTACCAGCCCCAAAATCTAAAGCCGGAAAAGAAAAACAAAAAAAAAGGTCCCAAAATTAAACAAAAAACAATGCCTTCGATTCTTTTATACATAGCTATTATAACTAACTATACTATGGCTCTCGACCATTGAAGGCGGCAGTCAAATTCTCTACTCTCAAGCCGACCCTCGATGATGATAAATCACCCCTGCAAAATTATGGCATTATGGGCAAAGTCTCAAACCCCACAGAACTCTTTGCATCAAAAGCTTCATTGAGTTTAGACGCCTTTTTGGATGGAAGTGAATTAGTGGTCCTTCTGTAGGGACCAAACCATTTTGTCTTCATATAGGCGTTTCTTCTCCATGGTGGCATGGGCATTTCCCTGCTCTTCATTGATTGCTTAATTGCAGTGCTCACTAGCCTCACAATCTGCTTGAGCTCTGCTACTTTCCAAACAAATATCCGTGGGAAAATCTCAAGCAAAGAGGCATAATGATCGGTCGGACGGGCGGTCTCAAAGTCTCCGACTAGGAAGGCCTCCACAATGTAGCGAGTTCCTTGGACATTCATATCAACATACTCGTAGTCTCCTGCTGGAAACCTTTTGGATTTCTCCCACTTTGACTTGCAAAGCTCTGAACAATTTGGACACATGAAACATTAGCAATGACACTGCCATACAGTGACACAATTTCAATAAAATACAAATAAATTTGCCAAAAAAATGTGAATCTGTGTTGATATTGAATTGTGTGTAATCATCTCATTTCGGATCAAGTCAAGTGGAAAAATTGTGTGTGCGGGTGTGTGTTTTTCTCCATTTTGAAATCCACATTTTTTTTTTTTTTTTAATGAAGTGTGGATTTGCCGCTAAGCGCTAGAGAATGCCTATAATAGAGATGCAGAGTATCAAATCCCATACTCCCTCTCTCATTTTTCCATCACAATTTCTATTTATTATTTTCTTTATTTTATTTCATATTACCGTCACATCAGTAATTATTATAGGTTTATTACCATATATAAGTAACATGTATACTCTTTAAACAAACACTAGTACAAATATCACATTTAACGACGGTTTTTAACCATCGTTAAAAGATATGACGACAGTTACACAAACCGTTGTGATATTCGGAGTCATAAAATTTCTGAGACATATGATGACAGTTTTTACCGTCGTCTAGTAGGCACGTAGGAGGCACATTAGAGGACAGTTTTTTTCAAAAACTGTCCTTTAAGGTACACATTAGATGGCGATTTTTACAAAAACTAATGTGAATTTTTAACGACGGTTTCTATAAAAAGTGTCCTTAAAAGTCTTTTTAAAAAAAAAGCCGAAATATAGTTCTTTGCTTAAACAACGATTCCTTCAAATATTATTCACAAATTATAAAAGCATAAATCGTATTTCCTTCAACAACCCACACAAAAAACTTTCAAAAAAACATGTTACATATTCTCCTTCTCATTTATAATCAATATATATGTAACACAAAGATTGAAAGCCCATAAACAAAGTTTCTCTATGAAATATAACAACAAAAATACTTGAATACATAGAAAACTCTAAATCCAAGCAAATATAGAGTTTGTAAAAGAGTGTCAAGGTCACAAGGGCCACAAAAAAAACCAAGGTGTGGCGGTGAGGTCACGATGGCCGATGATTACGGAGGTGGCGGTTTGAGAAAGTGAAGAGCGTATATTAGTAGGAGTGAGGAGTGTAGAAGAGATGAGTTTTGAAAGAAAAACATTTAAGTATTGAGAGGGAGAATGAGAGAGAAAGATTGTTAAGGTGTGAGGAAGAGAGAGAGAGCTTAGGAGAAATGGAGGGAATTGATAGAAAAACTCAAGAGTTTGTAAGAGAGTCCTCGGAGTTATAAAAAGATATCAAAACCTTAAAAATTTTAAGAAAAAGAATAAGCGGAAAAAAGCCCGCCTTTATTTTCAAAAAATTTTAACAATAGACGACAATTTTTTTGAAGATGACGGTTTTTTGAAAACCGCCCTCTAATGTAACACTTTAGACGACGGTTTTTAAAACCGTCGTCTAATATAGCACTTTAGACGTCTAATGTTTGTGTATAAATTTTTGAAATACGGAATTCTTTGTGCCGCGTCTTTTTAGAACATTAAAAGACAGTTTTTTATTAAACATCGTTAAATAGGCGCCGTCTAATCTCCTATTTGTTGTAGTGAAAAAACCAACGACATATATATTTTCTTTATTTTGTTTTAGTGGGGAAAATAATAAAAACAACATTTTTGAACTAAAATAATAGTTTAGTAAGGATACAAATTGTCATATTACTTACTACTAAAATTGTATTTGATATTGATCAACAATTTGAATATATCTCACATATTCTAATATTTAGAAAGCACTGCCTATATGATATTCTAATTGTGTCTCAAATGTCACTTGAGGCTAGCTTAATTAAGTGGTTTGGTGTATTAGTGTGTGCATTAGTATCTGTGTCCACCAGAATTCGGATCCTAGTAGTTTCATTTTTTATTAATAAAAGTGAGAGACATAAACCCCACACCATATAAAAAAAAAAGAGACATAAACCCCACACCATATAAAAAAAAAATTATGAGAATAGAAGTGCATTGAAATAAAGTGAAAGGATTAATGAGAATGAAAGTGCAGGGAAATAAAGTGGAAGGGATAGAAGGAATTAAATGGCAACAAAAATTTAATATTTTGTAATGTTTAAAATCTTTTTTCATTAAAAAAACGTGAGTGATGTTGAAACAAATTTCTTCAAATTCAAAGAATATTATGGCCTTGTTTGTTTAAGCAATCCTAATCCAACAATTCAATATTCCACGGATTAGATTATGCAATTGACCTATGTTTTGGACCTTAACTCGTGTAGCTTCTCTCTTTTTAACATTCACATAAAATTAATAATAAAATTAAATACAAACATAACATAATATAAAACTAAAATAGTTTCAAAAAATCTAATTCATTAGAATACAAGTCTAACATAAAATTCAAGCTTTTAACCAAAAATTCAAGGCTTTTAATTGGATGTCGTATAAGACTAAGTCTTTTTCATACATATTCACTTAAATATATATGTATCATATGATTAAAAAAATCTGTTAATTTATAAACATATATAATATAATATATATTGAGGGGATTGGAGGATTATGCGGATTGAGAAATGCTTAATTTGTTGTAACTACAGGTTGGAAAAATCTCAATCCGTTACCAATATAAAATTCTTTCAATCTCATCCAATCAATTGGATTGGATTGAATTATGCAAATTAGACGGGTTGGTGGCTTACCCCTATCAAATCTCACAAAAAAAAAAAAAAAAAAAAAAACTTGGGATAATTTCTGTTATATATCTAACGATTGAAAACCAAAACCGGGCAGTATGTTGCATTTTTAGGGCCTATCATAGATCTTTTTATTATCATTATTATTTTGTTAAAAAGCTTATTACAAGAACAACATTCAAAAGTAAACAAAGCTGGCAGAAGCTAATTGCCAACAGTCATATTCTTCGTAAAATGTAATCCTATTTTGTAATCCCGAAGGACGAGAACGTGGACAATGCCATCAAAATATACGTTGCTTCAGCCAAATGCTCTTCAAATTATACGTACGTGGCAATAATAAGTACACAATCACTTAATTCCGAATTCTCGTATAAAATACTTCATCTTGGTAAATCAGGATGTTCTGTTGAAATAACTAAATTAAAAACATCGTAATTTGGACCCTTAATAACAGGCAAAGCCTTGGGAAATTTATACAGTAATACAGGAGAAGAGAAGTGGCGTCTAAGGAAAAGGATTTCTGGGACTTTGTCTCATGACTACATATAATCAATTAATATTATAAAATGATCTCTTGTTTGCGGCAAGATTTGGTACTTATAAACACTTTGATATGGATTAGCATCATCTTCTGTGACAAGTCACATGTGAAGAAGAATTTTATAAACTAATAATTTTTTTTTTCCTGAAATTTTGGTCAGTAACACGAAAGTTGAGGTCCAGAATAAAACCTGCATGTTACGTTATGTCAGGGAAGGGTTTTGGGGGAATTTAATCGAGGAGGCACACAAGTTGGTGATTGTAGCATGACTAGTAGTTTTCACCCCACAGCTTTAATTAACATATGATGTTTCTTTATCTTTAGTTTCGTTCACTTCGCAGATTCGAGTTTTCATTTTGAGTTGAGATATGATATTTTTTGAGAATTTTTTACTGTAGCAAAAAAAGTTAGATGTGATATTTTCTGAAAGTTTTTTACTGTAGAAACCTAGAACTAAAAACTCGAATCAGTGAAATGAACGAAACCTTTATGTACCTGTTTTATTTTTTTACATAAATACCGCGTGTATATATATAGACTCATTTTCTGTTTTCCCTTGTGATATTCACTTATACTATATCGGTGGTATCCATATATTCATGATTGATTTTGTGAGGTCCAGTTTTTGAACAGTTTGTTAACATTCCTTTTGTTCCCACCAAAAAACAAAAAATTAAAAATTAAAACCTCGTTTATTTTATCGATTCGAGTTTTTAATTCTAATTTTGCTACAATTAAAAACTCTCATAAAAAGTCACATATAACTTTTTTTGTTGCAGTTAAAAACTCACATAAAATCACATTTTAGCTTGAATTGAAAACTCGAATCAACGAACTCAATTCTAGTTTTGCTACAATTAAAAGCTCTCATAAAAAGTCACATATAACTTTTTTCTGCTGCAGTTAAAAGCTCTCACATAAAATTACATTTCAGCTTGAATTGAAAACTCAAATCGACGAACTGAATGAAACTTTAGGCAAAAAGTCAAGAGTCTTTTGTAAATTATATATTCTCTGAAAAATTACATAGCAACCACAACTATTTTCAGATTTACATCACATTTTGTTAACCTTTAACTCGTCTGTTTCCCTAGCATAAATCTAAAACTCTAATATCCGTGTCATAAGTCTAAAGGTTATATTTTGTTTTTTTTTTTTTGTGACATTCTTCAAAATATTTTTCGTGTTCTTTTCTTTTTTTGTTGATTAATTTACTGACTTTTATACTAAATGTGGTGTTCTCACCATCTCGCTGTCTCTAAGTCCTATCTCATTTTCACATTACTTATTAGATATTACAAAAAAATTAGACTGCATAGCAGTTACGGACTAAATTTAGACTGCATAGCAGTTACGGAATAAGTTACTTGGGGTGGCCTCCAAATTAATCGGGAAAAATAAAAATAATTAAAAAAAAACAATTAGCATAAGATGTACTTACAGTCAATGGAATGACTCCCATAATCTACTTGAATATATATATATATATATATATATATATATATATATATATATTCTGGTTGCTTTTAGGGCAAGTCAACCACTTCATTGACCCTAAAATAAACTTATTAGTAAATGACTCGTAGTGTTCTTGTTCTATTAGTTGACTGATGATGGAATCCTTTGTAAGTTTTAATATTGAAGAAAAAGCAGCTAAAGGAACAACTTTAACATGATTTTTGAGAAATCGTGTGGTCGTTTAAGGATTATAAAAGTTTGCATTTTGATGGATTCAACTTAATTGATACAACTTATTTATTTATTTTTTAACTCATAAGATTGCCAGCTTGCAAAGCATATCATCCACTGCTAGTGAATGCTGAAAATGACTTTAGAAGACGTATCTATAATCTAAAATACTACAGAGAATTAGCAGGGACCACTTGTGTGCCACCAAATATGAACACCATGAAAGCTTTCTTTAAAGACTGTACAACAAAGATTCGTTCTCTGTTAAATGAAACAACTCACACATGATTCACCTTTAGCTGGGGAAAAAAAAAAAAAAGGCAAAAGGGAAAGAACAGACAATTGTAAAAAATTAGAAGGTAAAAACAAAAATTCATTTCTTTATGCTATACAATATATGAATCATGAGGTGATTTGTTTAAAATACAAATCGAATGGCAAGTTTGAGAGCTTTGTCTTTTATGAACACAGCCTAGGCAAGGATCTTGAATGACTGTGGCTTGGAGCCCTTGATTTCATGATCTTTGCCATTTGGATTTGCATTTTTCTGCATACTTTTTCCAACTCCATCACCCTCCATTGCATTCCTTGCAAATGCGCCCTCAGGTCTTTGCTATCGGATTGAAGATCGAGTTTCCCCGCGTAAAGGACTATTTGGTCTTCTGATTCGTGTTTCTTTGATTCGTTTCCGGCTTCCATGGCTGTAGAGGGTGAATCAGCAAATGACTTGGGAGGTTTGGTGGTGGCATGGAGTAAGCTTTTGAGCTTGAACTGCTGAGAGATTAGTGCTTGGACTGCAGACTTCGAAGGGAATTTCGTGTTCTGAGAAAGGTGTATGCAGGCTTCAGCTGAGAGCTTCTCAAGGTTCAGAGAACAGCATATTTTCATCTTTTCCTCTTCGGATAATCCTGAATGCACCTATTGAAAACCAGATTCAATCAATAAACACAACATACAGATCAAAGTTGTCAAAAAGACAGATCTAGAATTAAATTATTCAATTAGGACAAGGTTCTAGAAACAGATCAAATCCAACAATGGGATTTCTCAACTCAATGCTTAAATCCAAAAGTCAAATAATAAACCTCGTACATATAAATGAGTTTGAGATCAATGCAATACCTCAAGATACATGTCCACGGCATGATAAATCTCATCGTAGGAATCTCGAGCAGATTCTGGTAAGGCCATGATCAGGGCCAAGAATTTTGAAGGTTTTAAATAAGGATCTGGTGCTACTTCAGCAATATACAAGTCCAACAAGGATGCTACTTTATTCAATCTCATCGCAGATACTTGACAGAGTCCGCGAAGAAATACCTTGAGAAATCTCAGAACAAGATTCACATCATACAAGTAATTCATCCCATAGGGAGATGGAGCAAGCAAATTATCTAATGTTGCATGATCCAACTGTGAACCAATCATATTCTCCAACTTATTCCTGCTATTTTTCCTCAACTTCAGATTCAGAGCAACCCAGTGAATCTCAAACAAACTCTTGCAGGATACGCAGCTTTGGTCAAGAATGTAAAGCATGTCAACAACGGTTTCGACAATTCTGCACTTCTCGCTGAATGAGGCAGTAGAAGACTTTGATTTCTGGTAATAAACAAGGAACCTACTGATAATGACATGGTTGAATTTTCGAGAAACCATGGACTTCACAAGCATTTCAACCAAGACAAGACTTAAAAACAGGAGATCCTCAAACCACCAAGTTGTTTTAGAGAAGACAGTCTTCAAACTCTCGGTGCTTTTGGTGTCGCATGAAAACCGAAACCCTGAGCTATCTGGGGAAGAAGTAGACGGACAAGGACTCACTTCGCTGGCCAAAGCCAGCCTCCCAACAAGAGAATCAAAGCACTTGTCAAGAATTCCTGAAGAATCAGAAGCCGGAAGTAAGCCTTGGCATTGCTTCAGAGCCATTAGAAGCTCGGCCCACGTCCAGTATCTCGTCTCTTCAAAGGATTTCTCGGTTTGTTCCAACAAATTACTAGCTTTAGAAACAGAACTCTTCATTTCCATGAATTTTGCAGCACAATGCAGGAGAGAAATATTGGAAGGAGTTATCGCAGTCCTACCAAAGTTGTAGCAGAACCTCAACATCAGCTCAAAACACTCTGCCCCACCAGGAAAGTCATGGAATACTACTTTAAGGCTAGGTGCTGAGCCTTTGGATTTACCAAATAATTTACTTAACCTGCCTGAATATGAAGCAAGTATTTTCTGCAAATGGGCACGAATAAAAATAAATAAAAATAAAAAAAATAAAGAGTTAAAATGATAAAGAAAAGGCCAACATGTTTTGGCAATACAAGTACAATTCTTCAGAGATTAACTTGAACATACAAGAAAGGGGAAAGGGGGACAGGTATTTGTGTCACAGAGAAAACCAAAAGGAATTTGGAAATAAAGTTCTGCAGATTCAAGCAATAAAAGGACAAGAGCTTAATCAATCCTACGGTAGAATGAGACCAACCAAAAGAATTAACTCATGGAATTAAAGGAAACAAAAAGGTGGGATTAAAAGTAGGAATCTAAAACAACAGAACCTGCAAAAGAATGGTGACAGGTCGTTATAGACAATAAATTTTTGGTAAGGGCAACCAAGAAAAAGATGTCTGCTAATCAGCTAGTAAAAAGGAACTTATGGGGAAAAAAAGATAGAGAGAATTAAATGCCTACGAAAGCAACCCTTTAGTCCTTCTCAAAAGGAGTGAATAATAAAACAAGTAAATAATAAAGATATAAACGTTTGAGCCCCATAACACAGCATTAAATGACACAATTCCTCATAAAAAGAGAAGGTCCTCTTACTTGGTGTAGAGTTTCTCAAAACGGTGACAACAAATTGGCAATGAAGCAGAAGAAGAAAGTGATAGCTAAAAGCTATGGTTGCCACTACCATGAAGCATATCGATGCATTACAGGTGTGAAATAAATGATGGGCCGAGAGAAAAAAGGAGGAGGAAAAAAAACAAACAAAAAAAGAACCATAATAAATTCAATGTCATTTTTTGCTCAAGGATCACAAACTAGAGAGCTTGTATGAATTGGCACCAAAAATCCAGACTTTCCAATTATGTGTATGCAAATAAATGAAGAACATTGAGGACCAAGTTTTTACCCTGTCCACCATGAAAGTCTCTTCGCCATTGACATCAACTTCAAGGTCACAGAAAAACTCCATGACCCCAGAAAAGAAAATTATAAAAAGGAAATGGGGAAATCCAAAAAAAAAAAAAATAATCATACAAAATATCAAGTCTTTCTTGGGAATCTGTATCAGACTAACAACCCCAGAGGAGACAAGGAGTTGAGGAAGGAGAGCAAGAACAAAAGGCCATATTCTGAGAAGAAGAAGGAGACAAACACTAGGAAATGAAAATTCTCACTTGGGCCTTGCAAATTGGAAATGGGCACTCGCCAATTGTTGCTGGAGTGGAGAAAAAAATGGTTTTTTCAACTGGGATACAGAGACAACACACACACAAAAGAGGTTTTGAGAGAGAAACAAACAAGGAGAGTAAAGACAAATAAGTCACTTATAATATTCCACTGTGAGGGAAGCAGTTAGAGAGAGAGAGTTGCTGTGTCTGTGTGTGTGACCAACCGGGCTCAAATCTGACATTCCCCGAAAAGACAACGTAGTTTATTAGTTGAAAAATGAGATTTTTCTTTTTTTCTCTTTTTCTTTATTTTGGGGACAAACAAAAACCATAAGCTTTAGCTGCTTAGGCCTCAAGCTTTTTTGCTGGCTTTTGTAATTGTTATTTATTTCGATTTCCAGGTTCATCGCTGCAAGTCTCCGTGGCAGTGCACCCACCAAAATATACTTCACTCCCCTGTTTGCTGAAATGACAGAATTGCCCATTTTGGCACATCTCTTTTTCAGTTTCCATTTTTTTCCTCTTACTTCCTTCTCCACGTTGGAGGCTGGACTCTCTTAGAAATGGGTTTGATATTGGCTACACTTTGTCCAAAGGGTCCCACAAAGAAGGATCCTGATGTTGTCATTGGCCCACAAATGGATCGTGATTAAGAACCTAACCACGTCGATTCTTCCGTGTTGTACACATAGAACGCGTACAGTACTATTTAGCTACAACCGGATTGAATTGAATATTTTTGGGCAATGGAATATTGCCGTGAGGTCGTTCCCATGATATTTATCTTATAACCTACCTTATTCACAAGAGTTTTCATCGAATATGTTTTTTTAACGAAGCAAAATGCTTAGTATACTAAGGTCTCGTTCCCTTCGTAAATTTAAATTTTTAATTTGAGTTGAGATGTGACATTTTCTGAGAGCTTTTCACTGTAGCAGAAAAAGTTAAATGTGACATTTTCTGAGAGCTTTTTAATGTAAAAACATAAAAGTAAAAACTCGAATCGGTGAAATGTATAGATATTTCACAAAGTGAATTATTCATATACCTAGTCCATTACAAAGTGGATTATTCATATACCTAGTCTATCACGGTAGGATTAAATCAAATGATTAAATTCTCGATGGAAGTACGCGCACTCATTAAAATTGTAAATTTGATACATACATACAATTTTACTTAATAATGTAGAATTTTAACTATATTTCATTAATTTACGCAGTCTGTGTGTGTTATACACGCTAAGCTTCTCTCTCCTTTTTTAGTTCAATTTTTATTTTTATTTTATTTCGTTGGGCCTACGAGAATTGAAAAATGCCGCTTCCGACCATGCAGCAGATGCACGGTAAGGATATGAACCAAACGAGGGACGCGTGAAATGTCAGATTCGCAAACTGAGAAGACTGTTTTACCCCTGAATGCAGGTTCAATTCACGTTTTCACCGTTCTGACAAGTTGGATTAGAAAAAAAAAATAAATAAATAAAAGAGTGGGAAATGGGATTTTCACCTGCGAAGGAGAATAATAATAAGTACATTTATCTCCATCTTTTCAACATCATATGATGCTTTGTGAAGACTTGTGATCATGATAATCATTACCAAATCATCTGCTTTGTCTGCTAAAGCAAACAATAAATGAAGGAACGATGTCGTTTGTAGTTGGTAAAGTCTTAACAGGACGAAACGACGATGTTCCAAATTTGAAGCAATCAGGATTAAAATCATTGCTTTTTTAATTTCTTGGGCAACGTTATCTTGCATGTCAATTTCCCAACATCGATTTTTTTTTTTTTTTTGGCTCCGAATTCCCATCATCAATTGAATGCATAAAATGATACATATTGGATACGTCGCAAATTCATATTAAAAGAAAGTGTCTGAAAAAGCTCAAGAAATTTATTTGTAGTTTTTAAAATTTTGATTAGTAGTATTCCAACAATTAAAGGCGTTACTCAGACCAAGTTTATGTCCTAATTATGTTCATTTACATAATTAAAATCAATTGTGTAGATAAGAAAAAAATACTGTAATAAACAAATTAAATTTATAATTTTTTGTTTAATTTGAGGGCACACAAAAAAATAACGTGAATTGATAGTTATAGTTTGCGTTATGGATGCTTGCCTCTGTTAATTTTTTTTCTACTCTGCTCTGTTCATTAAAGAAACTAAATAATATATAAGAATAAAATTAAGAAACATGTAAAAATTAAAATAAGGTTACACTAGTTTTTGCCAATATTTGAGTATGTATTATTTATTAAAAGAAAAAAAAAGAGTATGTAAATCTTATAACCCTTTTTTCTAGAATATGTTATGGATTTTAATCAACATTATTGCACCTCTTTTCTTTTTATTTTTCTTTTGGGTTATGATTATTTTCTATAGTTGTGTAAAATTTTAAAACTCTAAAGAGGGGTGGGATCACGATGTAACATTTTCGCTAACACAATAACCAATTAGGATTTTATAGATATGTAGTGACAACAAACGGGGCACTTTACAATTGTCCCTTTTCTTTTGTTCATTGACCCCATCATGTCTCAACTTGAAATTCAAGTTTCAAACACCAATAAAAGAGCCACGGAAAAGTATTTCAAGGAAATCTTCCACGAGGCCTACAGAAGTTTATTAAAGACTAATATCAGCCATTATCTTTCAGCAAACTGAAAAAGAAACATTTATTTTTTTTGAATTAATCACCATTAATGGCATATTTACTTATATGTAATCAAAGTGGATATGAATTAGAGTGGACAGGAATTGGAGTCAGGAATCGGAGTCAGAATAAGCTGTTTACTTAGGTTCTAAGAATTGGAGTCGGAATCAGTCTCAATCTCATTCATGTGTTTGCTTACACCCAGAATCGAAATAAATTGTTATAAATTTACTTACCTATCATTTTAATAGATTTTTGTGTGTTGAACTTTAAAAAAAAAAATTGTATATTATGCTAATTATCTAAATATTAGGATAACTAATTAGTAATTATATTTTTTTTAAACACACCTAATCACACCTAGATTTTTTTAATTAGTAATTAGAAATTGTAATGGTATGGATCTCCACGAATCCTTGAAATGATGTTGTGCAATCAAGGGGCAAAACATGGCTTGATCACAAATTCAACAAATAAACACATAAAATAAAAATAAAAATAAAAAAAATAAAAAAAACTTGCGATTTAATAAAAAAAATCACGGTGATTTATGTTATTGACTCACCTTGAAGAGAAAATGGATGCTCTTGGTTGCTATGGATGCAATGCTATGTTTTGAAGAGAAGAAAATATCAGAGGAAGTGAGCAAAGAGATACGAAAAAGTGAAAATAAATTAATGCATTTTTAATTTTTTAATTTTTAATTTTAATTTTTTAATTTTAATTTTTCTATTCACAAATTTATTAGTAGAATTAAAAGTAGAATCGTAATTCATATTTATTATTAGGGTTGAGAGTGCCAATCCGGTGGAGAGTGAAGAGTGTCAATCTCATTCTTTAATCTTAAATTAGTGTAAGACCTACACATTTTTATTCTCATTTTAAAATAAAAATAAATAAATAAATATGAGGTTGATTTTCTCATTTTCTATTCTCCGCTCCCTAATAAGTAAACATGACATAAGAACATACCTAATATTCCTTAGTTCGATTATACCTTTTCTTCCCGAACCTTAATTGAGCACGTTGCAACAAAGTGTTGAAAGTCAGTTTTTTTTTTAAATAAAAATAAAAATAAAAAAGCAAAGTCGTTGATAGCTGCATCTGCAGTGTGTTTGCTATTTATTGGTATGCCTGGGCCATTAGCCCATTTGGTTTATGCACGATTCCAAAGATGAGAAAATGGCTGAATTTATTGGGCTTGTTTTTTTGAGTGAAAAATTTAAAAAAATACAACTCGAGTTACAACTTTATTTGAGTTCATGTTCTTTTAAGTTTAAACTCGAGTTCAAACTTGAGTTTAGGACTAAAACTCAAGTTCAAATTTCCCCTTCAACTCGAGTTCATAAACTCGAACTCAAATTAATGAATAATATTTTTTTTATTCTTAAAAATACTATATAACTTTTTCGTTTTAATTCTGATTGAGATGATTTTTTTTCTATGCGTTGACAACGAAAAGACGAATAAAACCCGACCCATATACCCTATTAAAATTTTTCATTAGCATTGAGTTTTTATTAAAATACTATCTAAATACAAATTCAAGTTTTGACTCACTCAAACACAAACTCAAAAAGATTCTTATCTCAAACCATAACTCAAATGTACACAATCAAACACAAACTCAAGTTACAAGTTCAACTCAAATTATAACTCAAATTCAACTCAAGAATTATACTCAAGTTAAACTCCAAAAGAACAAGCCTATTGTTATGCACGAGTCTAAGTTTTTATTTTTTATTTTTAATTAATACCTTTTATTAATATAATTATTTAATTAAAAAGAGTATTAATCAAGAACAAAAGTTAAAAATTTAAGTTTTATGTACTTTTAAGAGTTATTTGTAAGATTTTTCTTTCAAGATCTATATATATTTGGGGAAAGAAGACAAAAACCTTTTAGAGTGCATAGGTATAAACTTTTATTCTTTACTTTTGATTAATATTTTTATAGTCAAATAACTATGTTAGTCATAAGGGTATTAATTAGTAAATGATAAAAATCTAGACTCGTACACTCTAAGAGTAAGTTCAACAATTTTATCTATATATTTTGAAACATTTCAACCGCGTTCTTTTTGCGGGTTTGAGTCGTCTTTTTATTTTCCAATTTTATTTTTTTATTGTTACTCTTTTAAAGAAAAATTTAAAACTTACTCTTAAAGTGTATGGATCTGAATTTCTACAATTTACTCTTAATCATTATCATTTTAACTAATATAATTATTTAATTAAAAATATTAATTAAGAATAAAAGATAAAAATTCATACTCATATACTTTAAAATATATTTTTATACTTTTTTTCATGGGCTCAAAGAACTTATGTGCTTTTGAAAGATGACAAGACATATAAACTGTTTATGTGTAACAGACCAAGGCCAACCTCTCATGCTTGTGAAGGTTATAAGATCTTTTCCAACTTAAGCTTTGTTCTTCACTCAGGGAACACTTCATGCTCAAGAATTATTACGTTTCCCCACCACGTTTCGAATTCAAATTCGGAAAATTTTATTATTAATTGATCCTAAAAATGAATAACTAGACTGATCCCTTATATTATAATGAAAAAAATAAAAGAAAATTAAACTTTTGAGCTCTGGGTTTGACACGAATGACCCAAAACCTCACGTAGGTTCACTCAAATTTGTTATATTCGATTAAGGCGCAGCTTAAGAATTTTGGGGCTATCAAGAAGAGCGAGGTACTTGTTTGTTTGTTTTTATTTTTGTCTCTA